AAGCCAACCCAGGCTGCAAACGCCGGGGGGGCCAGCCTGGGCCGCGCCTCCTCCCCCCACACCCCCCCTTACCTGCTTCAGGCTTCCCGCAACTCAAATGTTCGCGGGAAGCAGGGGAGGGGGCGGAGTTGGGGCGGGGGCGGGGGGCGGGGCCCCCGGGGAGTTTCCTCCTTTCGGAGGCACTAAATATGGTAACCCTAGCATCCTTATCCAACTATGTTTGATTGGGTCTGCCTTATAAAGGAAAAGGAAAACTTGCATTGTAAGCTTTTGTCACTGTTTCCTCTTGTTGTAAAAATATGTCTGTCATTAGTAACTTAAACTGTTTAACTGTGCTAACAATCTACTAAGGAAGCCGGAAGCTGTCATCTTGCCAGGCTGTTGACCTGGGGCCTGATTCTGTGAGTAAGATAAGGCTCTTATCTTACTAATTTTTTAGTCAGAACCTCCTCAGGTAACGCTCAATGCCTTGCAGAATTAGGCCCTCAAATTTTGATAAAGCAAGTGCCCCTCAGTATTTGAATGCATGAGGGAGGCTGGAGACTTAAGGTCAGTTAAACTTACGAACTTTTACAAATGTAACTTTGGTTTAATATTGTCATATTATTGTCTCTCTGCCAGCTCTAAGGAACTGGTGGAAAACTGAACAATCAAAACTAAAAACGAACCTAAAGCATGAGGACAAGTGTAACCGTTGTGGTGGGTCAGGGGAAATATACACGTTGATACAGTCACTATTTTGTAAAGTAATAGACTAGATTTAAAAATCATAGTATTTCAAAATAATAAATAAAAGTAGTTTCAGGTTCTGTTCTTCTCCGTGAGTAGCCCTTGCTAATTTTTGTGGTTTTTACAGTCACACTTAAAAAAATATATATATTTGTCCCATTTCTGTCCCACACAAATAGGAGAATGACAATACAGGGAAACTGTGAAATTGACTGTACACAAAGTTTGCTCAGATACACAAAGGAAACTGGAAAAATAGAGAACTTTTGTTTTTACCAGTCTTTATTATAGTTAGTTTAGAGTGTCACTTCTATCAATAGTAAGTTTAAAAAAAATTCAGGCAGAAGTGATTTTGTTTTTTGTTTGTTGACTGTGTCCCTTATGTAGGAAGGGATTGTGAAGTGTATTATTTTTCAGTTATGAATATATAGAAATATAGACTCTCTATCAGATTTGAAAAGGCTTTATAGATCCATATAGATACTGTATCCTGTATGTATTACTGAAGTAGGACCTATCAATATTGAGCCTGATCCACAACACTAAATCTGATAGCCTTATCCTTTAACTTTGGGAAAGTGTGTGGATCTTTATCCAAACTTCATGGCTTGGACCCAACCCTGACCATAATATGGAAAGCGGTGGCATACAGACCTTTCAGAGCATCAGTGCAGGGGACAGTGTCTGACGGCTGCTGGAGAATATGGTATCTCTGTAGGGATATAGAGCCAAGGCCACAGTGATCTCAGCCATCCGTTTAGGTGAGAACAAGCCAGTCTCATTTCTCAGCAGGTGAGACAATAACAAACACAGTGCAAAGGAAGTTAATCTGTACCCAGAGCCGTGTTATTTATTACTCTGGTTATTAAAATCAGTGTGGTGCTTCTGCCAACGCTTGTTTTGTTGGCACAGCAACATGCTTTAGCTGTGCTAACAATCTGCCCATGATCTATTCCCGTCACTTAGGGTTGTCCCAGAGAGAGAATCTGCTGGAAAAGGTGGATTTTTTTGAAGGGGGGGGGTACTAATCACAGGTGTGGTCGCCATTTTTAATAACATCTTTGGTAAAGAAGTAGTGAGCCTGTCTGTTTACTTGCCACACTTAGGGAAAAACTCACGCAGTCCCTAGACTTGAAGCGTGCCTTCTCTACAAAGCAAATCTGAGGCCTGAAAACTACCGTCAGCTGTAGCTGGGTGACATGATGACTCAGGAGAATGGTAAATGAAGAAGGAGCCCTTTATTCTCTAAGAGCCCTATTCAGATCTGTCCCAGATCATTATCATCTGATGACTGTTGATAGACTTGGTTCAATTCCAAGTGGGACATGTGTCCTAGTCACAAAAAATACCATCAGTGCTCCATTGTTGGTAGTCTTCTCAGAGAAGCAAGAGATTAAGGTGTCTGGAGACCGAACCACTTTCTGTCCCCTCAAGATCAGACTGGTTGAAGGCATGTGATACTTGGTGGGGCAAAGGGCTCTGCTCTGTGGAGTATCTTTTCTGAGCACTCACCGCTCAGTGACCTACTGTGGTTTGTACACCACCCCTGCTGCTTCTGGAAAAAATGTGGGAGGGGAATCAACACCCTCCTATGTGTAAACTCTCCTCCTATTCGGCCGCCCTCACTAATGACAAGTGCCCGATAACTCTGCCCATACCCCTACTGTTGTTAAAACCCTCCTACGTCCCCTAATGGCAGGTATCTCTGGCTTGCCTAGCTGTCAGACCTTCCCCTCCACTAGCCCAGACCGGTATGCTAGTTATGGATGTCTGCCATGCTTTACTTTGCATAGGACTTCCAGGAACCTAAGGGAGAACCTGGACATATTTAAAAAATGGCAGACACTCACAACTGACCCTTCCAAGCCACATGTGTGTGTGAGAAGCTTACACTGCTGCTGCCACCACCTCTGCCAGAGGACCCATTCTGACAATTAAATAGAGAACTTCTGTCTCCAGAGCTGTCAGGCAGGTATTTTTCCTGATGCCAACCATCTGCCGGAGAGAGAAACTGCTTGCTCTACAGAGCGCTCTTCCAACACATGGAGTTAGCTGGATTTTCCTGGATGGGGCACTTTTCAGATCCATCAGTTTGAGTATTTTTGTTTAATAATTTTTTTTTACATGGTTTTCACGTAAAAGGAGTAAGGCCACTGCTTATAACACAGGACAAAAATGCTAATGATCATGGAGGTGGATGCCTGCTGGCACGGCGGGGAGCCTGTATATTTCATAATGAGGTTTTGGATATGCACGTCCCCACTAGTTGCTTTGATTTGGGAACATTTTACGCACAAATCGTGCTGCTTTCAGGGACATAGGTATTAAGCACATATAGACCAGATTAAAAACAAGTCAGATATCCACACTGCAGGAGCTGTATAAAATATGGGATCTGGACATACTGTTGTTGCGTCCAGTCCTAAAATCGGAAGTCTCTTACCTAAAATTGCAATGTACTTTGTACTAGATCAGATTTAGATGACCTGAACCAAAACATGGGAGCCAAACACCCCTGAACTATGCAGTTTGGATCTACATCCAAAATTTTGTTTCCTGGACACATCTCTAGATCAAACTGACTTCTATCCTGTGAAATTCAGTTTTGATCATTACAAATGTGCAGTGAGAGACAGTCCCTGCCTGGAGCACCTAGAGCCTAGTCAGATGAAAGAATATTATTATTGTGGTGCACTGAGAAACTTGTTGGAATTGCAAGCTATCACTTTGAGTGGTGTGGGGTATTTCCTGCTCCTGCTCGTAAATTAGGGGGGTCTGTAGGGAAGCATACAATCAGTCATCAGTCTGCAGAGAACAATTCTAGAACAAGGTGGGGTGAGTTGTGCCTTGCTGTCTTATGGAGCAGCCTGCTTTGTCTATCTCTGATTTTGCTTACTGTGCGTTATCATTCTGGATTCTAAGAATAAAAGTAGTTAAGTTGCAACTTTCCAGAAAGACAAAAAAACATAAAATACTCTGTCTTTTGTTGTATGCCATGAGCATAAGTTATCCCCATTTTATAGAGGGGAAACTGAGGCACGGATGTCTTTAATGTGGAAACAAGCTTTTCCTGCTTCTAAAGATCAATCTCTTCATACAGCCATGTGCAGTTGCAGTCACTTTTATCTGGCTTTGTGGTTTTCATTTAATGAAAAAAAATCATGTAGCAAAGTACAGTTTTGACTTAGCCTCATTCTGCAATCTGACCATGTGTAAAGCTTCATCACCTTCGATGACACTTCATACCCCTGTTGATCTGAGCAGCTAGTCAAAGTTCGAGGCCCTGGGGCTGTTCCAGTTGGGAATAGAAGTCAGTGATGGAGTCTGGTATTTTGCAACATTGTTTATTTACAAGGAATGCAGAAAATCCTGTTCCCCTGAGAATGAATCCAACAGGGGACAATGTTCTGGCTCTCAGCATCCAACTACTCTTTCCAGTCAGTACCCCAAATCTCTCTAGGTTATTTTCAGGATTAAGTTGCCAGCTGCTTACTCGGTGTGTCTCCCTGGCTTCTTTCCTACACACCTTTGGTCAAACCATACCCAGTGGAACTCTCCACCCACATGATGCTAATTTCTGGGCAGGCGTCTCTTTTAAGTGAGGGCTTCTGATAAACTTATTTGAAATGGAATGTGTTGAGTAAGCTTGTAACAGGTTCCCTGCAGGGACATTTCAGGATTGGAGCCTTAGCTAGGAATTTATGATGCAATACTATTTCTATAAGCAACCAGAAATATCTGATAGTGAGGCGTTGCTGCATAATGCATCTCAAATTACCCCCTGATTCCCACACCTCCAGTGTGCATCACTCTCCAACAGGGAATGTTTGAGCAAGCCTTCAAGAGTCCAAGAAACGTGGTTCATGGATTTTTTTAGAGCCTGATCCTGCAAACATCCACGTGCTCATGTGAATAGTTCCTTAAATTTCCTAGTGGGTTTACGTGTTTGTACGCGTAGGACAGCAAATTGTCACTTTATAGCATAATCCAAGAGATCTGACCACGGTTTCTTGTCAAACCCGTTTGCTGATAATTCCTGTTGTGTTTTGAAGGGATTAAATGTTAGAAGCGTGATTCCATTTCTGTGAGGAGTGATTTAAAAAATTCTGGGACTCCAAAGGGTATCTTTTGTCTTTTAACCAAAATGCAGAATGTGAAGGCTGTATCCGAGACCCCTGCAGTACCGCCGGTTTCAGAAGATGAAGATGACGAGGATGATGCTGCTCCACCCCCAGTGATAGCTCCACGACCTGAACACACAAAATCAGTGAGCCAGCTAGAAATCTTCCTACAGATTTCACCACTTTGGGCTAGACTGCAACTTTAGTCTGGCCAGGGAAAGGGGTGGTGCACAACTGCACTGCCCCAGGAACATACTTGAGAACAAATTGTGACCCAGAGTCACACAGTATGTCTACACTTTGAGCTGGAGGTGTGATTCCTAGCTTGAGGAGACATACTCACGCTAGCTCAGTCAGAGCTAGCGTGCTAAAAATAGCAATATGGCTGGGGTGGCAGGAGATGGAGGGGCTAGCCTCCCCAAATACGTGTTTATGGTCTCAGATGGGGACATACTTGGAGCACCTATCCCTCCCGTTGCATGTCACTGCAGCCAAACTGCTATTTTTAGCATGCTAGGTGATCGGAGCTAGCATGAGTGTGTCTCCTTGAGCTGGGAAGCACACTCCCCACTCAAAGTGGAGGCATACCCATAATTACTTCCTCCTTGTTCTGGGGGAAGAGTAAATTACTTCATGCCTTTTCATAGAGCAGCTTAATGGAGCAGCCTCCATGCATCCAGCCATGGAGCTCTTAATGTAGTAATGCTACTTACTGTAGTAATATTTCTTTCATTGCTTGGCACATGCTACTGCTAAGGACATACGTCTAGTGCATAGAGGTCTTTTATTTTTAATCTTCCTTTAATAAAACATATTTCTCCCCCCACACAAAGGTATACACCCGTTCTGTGATAGAGCCCCTTCCACCACCTCCTACCAGAGATGTGGCCACCTCGCCTATCTCTTCACCCTCTGAAAACAACACAACATCCCCTGACACAATGACCAGGAATACAGAGAAACAGAAGAAAAAGCCGAAGATGTCAGATGAAGAAATCTTGGAAAAATTAAGTATGTCATCTTTTAAAATCCATATTCTGATTTATTTGGTGGCTTAGAGGCAAATTCTGTTCCCAAATCCTTACTAAGCAGAGATCCTGTGACAGTTACATGCTGAGATTTCTCACTTCAGACTTCACTTTATGACTCAATGTTTGTGTTATTCAGTGACCAATTCAAGTGCAAATTTAAGCACCGAGAGCCTTATTTTCAGGCATGCTGAGCACGATGATTGCAAGTGAAGCCCAGTGGGAGCTGCAGATGCTCAAACCCTGTGGCAATTAGGCCCTGAATATATACATATATATATATTTTTTTTTCCGTGTGAAAGCTGAAGCCAACCTAGATGTTGTTTTTTCTCAACTCTAGGATAATTATAATTAACTTTGTTAGGCTGAAGGTGAGCAAAGCTTATTACCGTGACTACAACCCCAAAAAAACCCCACCAAAAAAACCCCTAAATAAAATCAGCAAAAGGATCTAGCTAGAAAACTTCCTCATTACTCTCCTCCCATAGATACCATGGCCTAAAGTGACTGGTGCCCTACATGAGGCAGGCACCTTTTTGAAGGGGACTGATGGTCAGCGGGTCGGTTGCTCACTCACCACTTTCTGTAAATCAGGCCGTGGTAAGGAGTCTCAAAAATCGAGATGCCCCAAATTACTGGTTGCTTTGGAAAATATAGGCCCAGCTTTCCAGCATGTCTCCAAATGGTTTCAACAATTGCTTTCTATTTGTAACATTTTAAAAGCATTCTGGTACTGTGGGTGCCTTTATCATTAGCAATACAGTACAGCTGAGACCACCAGCAACCCTCGGAAAATCTCCTCCCATCTTCCCAACAAAACCAAATAAAAGGGACTTTCCTCACTAAAATTCCCACTCCCTTAAACACAAGCTTTTACCAGGCCCTGCTCCCTTTAAATGCCTGGGTAAAATTGCTATCGTGAAGGTCCCCAACCTCTGACTTTTAAGGACTCAGTTGGCACGAGCAAATTTTAAACATGTAAGACAATACAACATAATTTGCAGATAAACTGTAATACAAATATGAATCCTAATGAAACCCAGGACCAGCTCCTCAGCTGGTATAAATTAGGGTAGCGCCTCTGAAGTCAATTAGGAAAAACTTTCTAACTATAAGGGAAGTCCTGCTCTGGAATAGGCTTCCAAGGGAGGTTGTGGAATCCCCATCATTGGAAGTTTTTAAGAACAGGTTGAGTAAACACCTGTCAGGGCTGGTCTAGATTGACTTGGTCCTGCTTCAGCGCAATGGGCTGGATTAGATGACCTCTCGAGGTCCCTTCCAGCCCTATATTTCTGTGATTACTGTTATTTGTATTACCATGGTCCCCAGTCACGGACCTGGACCCCAGTGTGCTTGGTGCTGCACAAACACAGGGCCAAAAGACACTCCTTGGCCCCAAAGAGCGAAGGAGTGACTATTGTGTAACAAAAGGCTACTAAATGGAATCACTTGAGTAATTTAAGGTAATGTGAGTGCAACACTTGCAAAGTCACTACAGCTATAAATGTGTCAGCCTTGTTGGATCTGCTTTAAAGGGCCACGTGTTCTGCACTGTGTTAATTTTCTCACATTGGTGCCTTTAGCAACACCCTCTGGCAGCTGCAAGATTGGTTTTTTGCTGGAAGCTTTGCCATCTATTGTCTTCCCAGTGTAATTCTATTGAAGTGAGCAGAGTTGAACTTGCTCATACTGGGGTTCAAGCTGGCTCATAGATGGGTCTTCTGACAACCACTTAGAGCTCCTACAAACATAATTAAGAACGATCATACTGGGTCAGACGAAAGGTCCATCTAGCCCAGTATCCTGTCTACCGACAGTGGCCAATGCCAGGTGCTTCAGAGAGAGTGAACAGAACAGGTCATCATCAAGTGATCCATCCCATCCCCCTTTCCCAGCTTCTCGCAAAGTTTAACAGCTTTTCTTGCAACTACAAATATAGAAAGATTTTAAGAACTTTTAGCACATATGCAGCACTTTGAAAACCTTACTAATCTTGCCAACCTCCTGTGAGGCAGGGAAGTATTATCCCATTTTACAGATGAGGACACTGACGCGGAGATTAAGGCCAACGTTTAATAATATCACAACTCCTCCTAAATCCTGTCATTACCCGTCTCTAGCAGTTATCAAACTTACAGTCTGAACCCAAGGCCCATGCCTTACACTTGAAGAGAGATTTCTTGAGCCCTTGCCCAGCAGTTCATCCTCAAGGAGCAAGGGTCATTTCCATAATTGTGGTTTCAATTCTCGGTTTGTGTAGTTGGGCTGCCCCCTTGTTCCTCTCCATTACTTCTGTCTGCCCCAGATCCTGTGGTTTGGCCGCGCCCCAGTGATGTCTGAAAATAGCATGTTTTTACATCACTCGCCACTGGGTTTCCAGGCCTCAATACTAAATGCAAAGTGGTCTACAAAGGCTACTATGCATCTAATTGGTGTTGCGCAGCTCTGGGCACTGGTGAAAATCCCACCATATGCTGACTGCTCAGGTAACTTGCAAACACTAACTTTGAAAAACCCTTCTGTTCCCAATTCCCATATTAAGCCCTAGAATGGCACCTCTTTGGCTCTTTCCATCTGCCTGTGCTTTCGGAAAGATTGGCTTTAATTTCCCCTCTGATTCCTAGGGGGATGATGATACTTCCTTACCCCTCAAGGGTGTTGTGAAGATCAAAGCTCTTTGCAGATAGTAACTGGAAGGACAAGTAAAATTGAAATCAAAACACTCCACTGCTTTTTGACAAAGGTCCTCTAGAAACCAGGAAGGTTTCTCTCAGAACCTTGCTTGGTTTCCTGCCAGGTTGCCAGCCAGGCAGACTGCCTTGGAACCAGGCATCCCCAGGGCTTCCAGGGTCTGTAGCTTTGGGGAAGCCCACCAGGCAATCTGCCCTCAGCTGGGACCCCCTGGCTTCCAAGGTGTGGCTCTGGGGCAGCCCCTTAAGCAGTCTGCCCCATGGTGAGGGTTCTGTCCCCTTCCATGGAGAACTTCAACATTTGGGGGGCTTTGTTCCAAACTGGAATGAAACCAGATCTCCAGCTATCAAAATCCTCTGTGAAATGGAATACTTTCCTCTGCCCAGCTCTACTAAATACAAATCCGTATCCTCTACACTCTGCCCTCTCCCTGCAAGGGAGCTGAGCAGCCATGGTGCTGGGAAAAGTATGAGCATCCACTGCATGTTAACTGTGGTGACAATGAAGCTTATGGCCTTCCATCAAACTAGTTCTCTTTTAAGCCCTGATCTTGCAGAGAACTCCATGTGAGCAGCTCCTGCATCTGCCCGGTGCAGCCGCAGGCATTTACCCATGCAGAGGTCATTTTGCGGTTGGGGCCTTGATGCATAATGGATTGCTCTTGCATTGGTGTATAACGAGAATTTTAAATCCCCCCCCCTTTTTTTTAAAGGAAGTATCGTGAGCGTGGGTGACCCCAAAAAGAAATACACACGGTTTGAGAAGATCGGACAAGGGTTAGTATATGCTGCTTCCCCCCACTCAGTATACACACAGCAGAAAACCCAAGCTGGGTTTGTTTGCTGGAAACAGTATCATAACATTTTCCTTCCTTCCCCCTCCCCACATACTCTTGAGTCATAGTGACTGTGAGGTTTTGTGTGATTGTTTAATATTAAAATATATGTCATTAGATGACCGTGTTGCTAAATATGTCTGTGTGCAGGGAAAGAACCGCTTATTTCCAGTGCACAAAACCTCTTGAAATTACAGATTTGCTTTCAGAATTAACCCTCTCTGCGCCGCGTTGGTTTTGTGTCCCCTCGCAGTGGGGTGTAGGAGAAGGAGTATCAGATGTATTACCTCTTTCTTTACTGAAAGTTGACTCCATTTTTTAAGAGGGCTGTTGATCTATTGTACAAATGTTTTCTCCGAGTAGTGAGTGTACAGATAGTTAACTTTTGTTCCGTTTAAAACTATGCAGGCTTTTCTCTCTCTCTCTTTGGGCCATTAAAGACAAGGGAAGATTGCCATGTCTGTCTTGCCTCACTGATTCAGTCTACCCTTTAATCTCTGCCATGTTGGGGAGCCTTGGTGCTGTCATGTCAGTTTAGATGGGATCAAATCATGTTCCAAATTAGTGATTTTTTTCAGAACAAGGTTCAGTCCAAGACCCTAACCACGTCAGGAGATTGTTGCATTATAGCCAGTTCCTCAGTATATTCTATATCACTCCTTAGCCATTGGGGTTTGCTCATAAATATTTCGGATTGCTATTTACTCTTGGAAATGTTGTGTGGAAACAGAGTTGAAATGAAATGTTCATTTAAGAAAAAAATGTAATGGATTGGAAAAATCTTCTTTTATGTAAAGATATCACTCTTGCTGTTTAGCACTAATAATGTGTTTTCTCTCCTCTTTGGTTAGCGCTTCAGGCACAGTATATACTGCAATGGATGTAGCTACAGGTCAGGAGGTGAGTGCTGCCAGATTATTTCTTCACATTGACACTACAAAACATAGAGCTTCTTTCAAAGAGTCATGACATTTAGCTTTTAATGAGAACGCTTGGTTTAATGGAACAGGGGGAGGGATAGCTCAGTGGTTTGAGCATTGGCCTACTAAACCCAGGGCTGTGAGTTCAATCCTTGAGGGGGCCACTTAGGGATCTGGGGCAAAATCAGTACCTGGTCCTGCTAGTGAAGGTAGGGGGCTGTACTTTGATGACCTTTCAAGGTCCCTTCCAGTTCTAGGAGATGGGATATCTCCATTTAAAAAAAAATAATAATAATTTAATGAGGGGCCTGGGCTAGTGGTCTGAGCATAGGACTGGGAAAAACCAGGTGCTCCTAAATTCTACACACTGCATAACTTCACATTTGGAAGCATTTTTTTTTTTTTTGCAGCCATGAGGGTGTGTGTGTGTGTGTGTGTGTGTGTGTGTGTGTGTGTGTGTAGTAGTAATAAACTATACTATATTAGTAGT